TGTAAATCGGTCAGTCAAGCCAGCCGCATCGAATGATTTGCGAAGATCTATCGATGAGACCCATTGGTCCTCAAAATGCCCGCACCATCCCTTGTGCTCAAGGCATCTTCCGTCAAATCATAGCCATAGCCTTGAAATTGCTGCTGCGCACCCCTCGTTGTCATGACTTCGCCCATTGAAGACCGGAACATCATCCTATTGGGCCTATCTCAGCATGGAAAGTCAGCGTACTTGAATCAGCTCCTGGTGACACAAAAAAGTGCTTCGCCGCAGTGTGCAATTGGAAAGGGGTATGAGCGCTGCACAACAGAACCTCAGTTGGTTGAACTCCATCCCCCGCAAAGGCCAACGCAGATCTTGGCAACTGATGCATTGCCGGAACCGCCAGAGACTCTTTTGTACCAATGTTTGGCATCTCTTCAAGGTCATGCGGATTTGGCTGAGAAAAAGCCAGAAGGTGAGGCGTTGCTACGAATGCAGCGCAGAATGTGGGAGTGGTTGTCCAAGCTTCGGCCAGGCTTGGTTTTGTCGTACAGCGCGAATGTCAGGTTTTCCCACCCTCTTGCCACCTCGAGCCCTGAGGTCCAGCCTGAATGCGCTGGAGAAAATGCCGTTTGCCTTTTCCGCAAACGCTGTCTCACCAATCTGCTCCCGGAGAGATTTGTCATGGCTGACTTGCTCAACTACGCTGACCCTGTGACCAAAAGGTTGTTGCAATCGAAAGAAACCAAAGCCAAAAGGAATCAGGGAGCAGAGCAAGAGTTGCGCATCAAAGCCCTGGACACTCCTGGCTTGGAAGATTCTCAAGGGAAAGATGATGAGAATGTGTTGAAGATCATCGATGCTGTCTCCAAGATGGGGTCCTTGACAGCCATTGTGATCGTTTGCAGGTTCGACGCTCCACCAGCTGAAAATTGGAAGCAGCATGTCCTTCGTTATTGGAAGCTGTTTCCTATGTTGCAGGCCCAATGGATAGTTGTGCACACCCGTGCAGACCCTTTTTCTTCCTACACAGACCGCGAAGATTCTTCATTTGAGCAGACATGCCAGGAACGCAGGGAGCTTGTGGATCAAGCCATCCGAGAAGTCACTCAGGATGACAGGTTTGAAGCTGCCCACATCTTCGTAGAGAACAACATCAAAGACAACCAGGTCCTCAAAGCTTACTTTGCACATCAGCAGAACACCTTGAGCTCTCTCATTGCTACCTTTCAACCCATCCCAATTGAGAACCTCCGTTTTCAGAAGGGCAAGGACTTGAATAGCCTGGACCAAACTTTGCTTGCAGCTTTTGAGGCAGAGATCGACACGGTAGTCAAGACCTTGGAAGATGTTAAGCATGAGACTGCTGCGATTTTGAAGCTTCAGGAGTTAAACTTTCAGGAAACAAAGGACATTCGCTGCACTCTAAATGGCATCGACCAGAAATTGAAGGACATAGACCATCATGGGCCTGTCGTGACAGCCTCGAAGTACCTCAGTGCACCTTGGGGCTTTTTTTGGAGCCCCGAAGCTTCTGCAAACTTGAATCCTGATCGCCCAGATGCTGTTCTGGAGATTGAAGACTTCACGGGCTATGATGGAAAGTATTTGAAAAGGAAGTGCGAGGACGTGAAGAATGTCTTGCCAGACGGTCGTGTTGAACTCAGGGTCTCCTTGCACGTGCCACATTTTTTCACACGCTTGGAAGCCAGAGTGAAGACGACTGGCCCCAGCAATGTTGTGAAGGCCAAGGACATTGAAGAACTCAAAAGCGAGCAGAAGAAATTTGCACAAAAGCTGGAAGAACTTGAAGCCCAACAAGAGAAGACAATGGCAACATATCAATACAGGTGTGAAAGGAATTATACACTTGAGAAAAGACATGCAGAAGTGGTGGATTTGCGGCTCTTCCTGATGTCCGAGTGGTCTATTGGCACCTACAAGTCTTTCCATCAGTTCTACCAGGAGGCAAAAAGTCTTGATCATCAAGATCATCGTGATGTCAAAGAAAAATTTGAAAAGATTTGGAGGGAAACTCACAGAGGGTCCCGGAGTGACAAAGAATCCAGGAATACCCAGCAGTGCAGCTGAGCTGCAAAGCAGCGCTGGCCGAGAATTTTGTTAGAAAACCTTAATGGACTTTGAGGGAAGCTCAAAGAGGGGTCCAAGAATGACAAGGGATCCAGGAATGCCCAGCTGCAAAGCAGCGCTGGCCGAGAATTTTCGTCACTAATGTGTCGGACATGAATGAGATTGCGCGAATCGTTGCTTGGAAAAGTGCCCAAGTTCACTGGGCTTAAAGAGGAACAGCATGGATGCAATGGATGTAGCTTGGTCCTGTCTTCTCACAACAGTGATTGATACGCCATTGCCCTGCCAGGCCTGATACATTCGTGAGGTTCGCCCTGATACATGCGTGAGGTCGCCTGATCCAATCTTGCATTTGAACTATAACAAGCAATATTCGCACTATTCTTGTTGAGATAAACAAATGAAGGAAAAGGAGTGATGAAAAAAAACTAATTAATAAACTTCTATCAATAGTTGAGCAGAACGTGTTTAGTCAATTTCAATCGATTTCTCTTTTGGGTTGAACTGCGGAGGCTGGGGGCCAGCCACGGATGTGGTCTGCAAGCAGTTTGCCACGTTGAGGTCTCATCGATCACTCAATGTATATATGAGTGGGGAGCTCAGATGGAGTTGGGATGAAGCACGAGAGGCTTTTTTTGCAACATACCACAAGTTTTGTCTGCGGGAGTGTGAATACCTTTTTCATCCTTTTTTAGTTGGGGGCTTCGAGATTTGACCCTCTGTGTTTCTTCAGAGTTGGTTCCTTCTCCGCAGCCGCTCATGTTTGATTCCCAGTCCTGAAAGTCTGAGGCAAGGGGGCCTTGCGTTGCTGGAGGCAGCTTGCTCACGGAAGTTGCAATAGCTGATGGTTGCAAACGGAACAAGTTGTATAATATAACCCTGATTTTGGCATTTAAAGCGTCTTGTTCGGAGCTAGGCCGGAAGTTGCAGCTTGGGCTAGCTGCAAGGAGGCTGCAGCGTTCTGCATCAAGTCGATATTATTCTTGTAAATCGGTCAGTCAAGCCAGCCGCATCGAATGATTTGCGA